ACTGTAACAGAAGCTTAATACCAATGGGGGTGTCAGGTCTAGGGCACTAGGGAATGCCCATAGGCATCAGAGCAGTTGACTGTGAACCCAAGGATGGAACAAATACTGCTAAAAAATGGATCTCTGTTCTGGTTCAGTAAATGGTGAGTGGTGACTCTGTGACACTGTGGGCCATGGACCACTTGGGGGCACTGTGGTTTCACAGAGCTGCAGGGCACTTGAGAGGCCTTCCAAAGTGGCCCAGGAGTGCAGGGCTGAGGGGATGCTGGCTGCTTCCTTGGAACAGAGAGGCAGATTGAATTCTCTGAGTGGGTCCTGAGCACTTGGATATAAACACAGAGTCGTCACTGTTCAGTGCAGAGAAGAGAGCATGGGACTGAGAGAGTTTCTGTGTTCCTCTGTGGCCTGGGGAGGGGAAGAGAGTGGAGAGAGGAGAGCGGGGGATTAGTTAAGGCAGCAGTGGGAACAGCTGGGAGGAACCAGCATGGAAGCAAGTGGGACATGGAACTGGCCCAGGAGGAGCCACCTTCAGATCAGGGGCTGTGCAAGGCAGGAGGAGTGCAGGGGGACAGCCTGGGTCTTGTCACTGGGTGCAGTGGGCCAGGTGGCCTGCAGGGAGGGTCATGGGAGAGCATGACATATGACACTCTTGGGGAGACTAGAGCTTCAGAGGTTTAAATGCTGAGCCCAGGAGGCCCACCCTCAGCCAGGAGACCCTGGGTTCCTGATGCAGCCATGGGCTCCAGGCTCCTGTGCTGGGTGGCCCTTTCTCTGCTGGGAGCAGGTGAGTCCTGGGTACAGCTTCTCCTCTGTGTTCATCATTCCTGGAGCACATGTCAATCCAGGATGGCTCAGTGGGACCCTTGCTCCTGGACTCTGCTCTTAGCTCCATCTCCTCCCACAGGCCCAGTGGACTCTGGAGTCAAGCAAACCCCAACACATCTCATCAAAGCAAAAGGACAGCAAGTGACACTGAGATGCTCCCCTCTCCCTGGACACGCCTCTGTGTACTGGTACCAGCAGACCCCGGGCCAGGGGCCTCAGTTTCTCTTTCAATATTACAATGGGGAAGAGAGAGAGAAAGGGAAGAACATCCCCAGTCGATTCTCAGCGCAGCAGTTCCCTGACCAAGCTCTGAACTCAACCTGAGCTCCTTGGCGCTGGGCGACTCGGCTCTGTTCCTCTGTGCCAGCAGCCTGGCACAGCCACCCATGAGCATCAGCCTTCAGTACAAAATCATTCCTGCCTGAGTCAGGAAGTGGCCCGGAAGGTGGAGCCTCAGCCAGGCTGGTTCAGGCCTGGGAAGCTGCCAACCTGTCCCAGACACCTGTTGTGGAGTGCATTTAGCTGCTCTAGTGCCACAGCAGTGGTGCAGGGCAGTGTCATTCACCTGTTCCCATCCCCGAGGGGACGCAGCTTCCTGGTCTCATGTGGTCATTGGCTGATGTCAGCTGCTCAACCCAGGTGTTCCCCCACCCCTCACTCTGCAACTACACCCTCCACTGGCTTCCCTCTCCCAGGTCCCCACTAGCAAGTTGAGAAGGTCATGCAACATGCATCTTGACCTCCTGTGTGACTTGTCCAAGGAACACGTGACTTTAAGGTAAAGCGTATCCCAATGGGTCCTCCTCTGTGAAGAAAAGTAAAAGGTGTCCTTTTCTGCACTGTGGTCCTCTTGCTCTGGTGTAGACCAGGCCAGGTCATCTTTGTCTCTTTCATGGGGCCATGAGAATAGTGAGCATCCCCTGCTGGGGTTCAAGAGCAGGGGCATTATCAAGAGAACTCCCTTCGTCCTGAGGGTGACAAAGTTAGACTTAAGGGAAATGAAGAGAATCAATGTGATTCATTCATTTTCTTTACGTTTGATTCAACAAACATGTTAGGCTACACACTTTGTTTACTGAAGACAAAACATGGGGGAAAAGTGAAAATGGGGAAAATTAGGGAAACAGAAAAAAAAAACCTGTGCTCCATGTTTTTGAATATACATTTACTGTATAGTTTACTCAATTTCTGAATTAGGCAAATTTTCTCATTACCTAAATGCCCATTTTACAAACTTAAAAAGATACTTAATTGTGCCAAGAACTTTTAAATGAGATCTAATTCCTTATCAAGTTTTGAGAAGTATTGATTTATTAGGACACAGTGTTGTAGAGCAGGTCTCCAGAACTTGTGCATCTTGCATAACTGAAACGTCTTACACTTTGACAAGGACTCCTCATCCCCACCTGCCAGTATTGGTAACCACTACTCAGGTCTCTGCTTCCAGAAGTCTATTTTAGAAGCCCCCCATAAGGTGAATCATGCAGTACTTGTCTAGCTGTGACAGGTTTACTTCAGTATACATGTCCTCCCTGGGTGTGGCTGTTGTATAATGGGGCAGGACTTGCTTCATTCTGAAGGCTTCATACTATTCCATCATGTGTGCATACCATATTTAAGTGGACATTTTTCACATTGTACAATGGCTTTCCTATGGAAACCACAGGTCACCCTAGTGGAAGGGTCAGTGGCAGAGCCATAAGCCCACACTCAATTGCACACTCACCATTGAATTCTACTATGTATTGAAGACTCAGGAAAAATAACAATGGCATCAGTTATTTACAATTTGCTATATAGCAAATAAAAGCCAGCATTTGGAACATTTCATTGAATCACAAATGCAGTTATCAGATGAAAAACTTAAGAAAAAAATGCTATGATTGTCCTCATTTTCAGTTGAGGTCATTGACCTATAAATAAAACAACTTGACCAAATCCAATAGCTATTAGGATGCAGACCTGGAACTCAACCTCTGGTTTAAGTCCTATGTTTGTGACTCTTTGCAACAATGAACATTCAATAAGGGAGATCCCTACGTTCACAATCACTGTGTCATCCTCTTTGTCCTCTCAGACCTGTTGTATTTCATTAATAGAAATCCATTCTTTGGGAGAGAGTAGACACAAAGATCCAGGGAGCGCCACATACACCTGCTGCTGAATGCAGCTCCAACAGGAGCTCCCCAAGACTGGGGCCATTCTCTTGACATGTTTGGCTGAGTGTATTCCTCTAAGAATCTCTATCTATAGGGGTCAGAGTTCTCCAGAGAAACAGACTACTAAGATCGATTGATCTATCTATCATCTATCCATGTTCATTATAGGTTATTGGCTAATGCAATTAAATCTGAAATCTGCACAGTGGGCTGGAGATTCAGGGAGAGCAGATGCTGTGGTTCAAAGGCAGTCAGTGACAATTCTCTGATCTGGAGAATGGACTGTCTATTCATTCTAGTCACATCTTCAAGTGATTCAATGAAGCCCCCTCACATTATGGAGGACAATATAATTTCCTCTCCTGATGAAAATGTTAATTTACTGGCATGTGAAACTCTCCTGAATTAAATATTAATCTCATCCAAACTACCATCAAAGAGAGATCTAGATTAATGTCTAACTTAACTTTCCTGGAATTGGCCCAGTGATGTTGACAACTGGCCACCCTCAGGGACGTATGCAAAGGTAATAAATATAAAGTCCACTGCACATAGTAGAATGCAGATATCTTGATTTCCTTGGCTTATATTAGAGTCTCCTCCATCACTCCTTCTGTGAAAATGCAAATAACCACACATTTTGGCCAATTGTCTTAGAGTTGAAAAACTCAAAAACCACGCAAATGGAAATATATATGCCTGTTCACTACATGAAATTAACTAACATTGGAACTACATTCCAAGGCAGACATTGGAAAAATCAACCTTATTGATATAAAAGCCACAGGTAATAAACATTACACATTTTAAATAAATTAGTCCATGATTTTTGAGCAATATATATTCATCCATGTAACCTCCCATATAAAGGCATATCCACACCAGGTAAATTCCCTCATGCCCCTTTCCAATGCATCTCTTCATCTTTGTTAATCCATAATGTGACTTCTATCACCATAGAATAGTCTTTCCTCATGCATCTTTTTAACAGAAATTTAAAATCTCTACCCAATAAAACACTTCCTCTTCAATACCTCATTAAACAGACAAGAGATGAAGGTGCTCCTGGAAAGTCCTGTGCCTTCAGTATGTTTGAAACCAAGTGAATACCTGACCCACAATTGGGACGAGCCCATCTCCAGATAGAGGACGAGGTAAATGATTTTCAGAAGGTCTTCCCAGCCTGCACAGGCAGATTCTACTCACTTACATTCATTTCTCATCTCTTCACTCACTCAAATTCTCTAATATTTATACTTTGACAAAATGAATCATTTCCCAGGATGTTATTTGAGAAGTCCACTATCCCCCGTCTAAGGACTGACTTTAGGTATAGAAGAAAGTGGTTTGCCCACTCCCACCCCATTTCCAGGGCAGCTGGCATCTAATATCTATCTGGTGGGAATCTTCCATCCTACTACATTAATTGGTAAGATTTAGAATTTTTATTCCCTTTCTCAGAAGAATAAAGGAGTTTGTTTCATGCCCCTCAATCACCATGACGGCTGAGACTGCAACAGGTAAACCTCAAACCTGTGGGTGACTGCTGTGCCCTGCAGTTCCTGAGGCCTCATTTAGAAAGTCACAATCTCCCTGGACAGCCTCCCTACTGTTCATCCTAGAGACCGCACAGTGGCCACTAGAGGGCACTGTGGGCCCACTGGGTGAGCTGCAGCCAGTGATTCTGGAAGACAATGGCTCAGGGGTCTTGGCTGGGGGCCTGAATTGGGAATAACACCTGAGGAGCCAGGCAGTGCTGCACAGGACAGAAGAATCCTGGTCTCTGTACATCCCATGATGTGCATGTGAAAGACTCAGGGCAGGGAGCCATGAACTGCACCTTGGTGAATCAAGGCCTCTCTGGGAGCCTGCATTTGACAAGGGGAGTGATGGGACTCCAGGGGGCAGCTCACACTACCATCCTGGTGGAGAGAGAGAAGCTCCTGAATAATAGGAAAGTTAGAAAACTATAATCAAGGCATTCACCCCACACCCTGGCCTGCCTTGCTCAGCACAGCCAGCTGCCTCTGTCCCACAGAAGCTCCACAGAATGGGGAAGGACTGCATCCACTGAGCATGTCCAGGGGCTACAGGTGACGTGCTGAACCCACAAGCACACTGGCATCTGAAGAGCGACATCACTGATGTCACGGCAAATCCTCCAAACAGAGAAAAGGGAGGAGCCAAGAGCCTGCTCTCAGCCCAGGAGACCAGCACCCTGAGTGCAAAGATGCTTAGACCTGTCCTTCCTGACCCTGCCTGGGGACCCAGGCTCCTCTGCTGCTTCACCCTTTGTCTCCTGGGAGCAGGTGAGTCCTGAGCACAGGGGACAGCCCCTGGAGCCACAGTCCTTTCTTGTTGCTCTGGATCAAACTCCTCCTTGGGTGAGGTGTTCACTCCTGTCTCCTTCCTCCCCAGGTTCAGTGGATGCTGAAGTCACCCTGTCCCC